ATAGCTCCATCCCCCTAAATCACAGACATGGGAGTAAACAGACTGGGTTGGAAGAGGCTTGTGTTCTGAGTACTCACCTGTTGTGCAGACCTGAGCAAGCTATTGAGCCTAGATCTGGAGTGCCAAAACACTGAAGGATAGTGGGCATGGAGGAATTGCCCCCAGGGTCCTGACCAGTCCTTCTACCTCCCATAGCATGTGGACATCCAGAACTTCTCCTCCAGCTGGAGTGATGGAATGGCCTTCTGTGCCCTAGTGCACAACTTCTTCCCTGAGGCTTTCGACTATGGGCAGCTTAGCCCACAGAACAGGCGCCAGAACTTCGAGGTGGCCTTCTCATCTGCTGAGTAAGTGTGGGTCCCAGCCCTGCTGGTGTCAGCTGGGCTCAGCTGACTCAAGACCCTCTGGAGCTGGCCAGCCACACTGTGGGTCTGTGGCTGAGATCCCCTTCCCCAGAAAGTCCCCTTCCTCCTCTGCCCCTACCCACCTGCTCCTGAGTGTGCCAGGTGCCCGTCGGAAGGAAGGAGCTACAGGTCCACCTACCAGCCCAGGCCAAAGCCCTCCAGGTGGCCTTGTCCATATTCCCTCCCTCCTCCTTCTACCCCTTCTCCCTCCTTTCTCTGTCCTCCTCTCTTCCCACTATCACCAGAGCTTCCTGCTCCCACGGGGTCCTGGCTGGAGATTCCAAAAGGAGGCTCCTGGCCCGGGCACCGTGCCCGTGCAGCCTATATAGGTGCTGCCAAAGACTTATATAGGACATCAGCAAGCCCTCCACTTTGGAATCGTTGCCCCTTCTGCTCACTTCACTCTCAGCACCCTCCTCCATCTTTCCGTCTCTTTCCTTCTCTTTCTGGTTCCCACCAGATTTCTTCCTCCTCCTCCCTCCACCTCCTCTCACGCCTCCCTCACCCCCACTCCCTGGGGCACAGCCCTCCTCTCTGACCCTGGCGCCAAGCCATTGCCCCCCCACCCTGCGTTCCCGCTTGCCCCAAGAGTTCTCTGCACCTGTGACTGGTTTTGCCCCCCCACCCCTGTCTGCATTGCACACCATTAGTGATGGGTAGTGAGCGGCACGTCCACAATTGGGAGGGGGCATGCGGGGGGCTGGCAGACTGCAGCACCAAGAATGAAACTGAACTCATGTCTCTATGTGTGTGTGTATGTGTGTGTCTCTCTGTTCTCCCTTCTCTCTTCTTGGCCTCTTCCCCCTCTTCCCCAACTGGGCCCTTGCCCCTTGCCCCTTCCCGGCCCCCTACCCTCCCCAGGACCCATGCGGACTGCCCGCAGCTTCTGGATACAGAGGACATGGTGCGGCTTCGAGAGCCTGACTGGAAGTGCGTGTACACGTACATCCAGGAGTTCTACCGCTGTCTGGTCCAGAAGGGGCTGGTAAAAACCAAAAAGTCCTAACCCCTGCTTGGGGCCCCACGGTGAGAAACGCCGCCTCTCCCACCTGCCGTGTTTCAACTGGAATCTGCTCATCAGGGCTCAGAGTGGGGCCCGGGAGGTGGATGGGGCATTGGGGAATGTTGGAGGGCCCTTATAAAAGGCAGAGGGTGCAGACAGGATCCTATCTTTGATAGTTCAGGGCCTAGCAGGTGAAACCATTATTCATAGTCAGTAATGACCCAGGTGAGTGGAATTATGATGGGGAAAACCCAAGGGAGGCTCCTGATCCAGGCTGCAGGCCCAGAATGACTTTCTGACCAAAGTGCAAAATAAGTTTGGATTTGTACAACAATTTCAGGCTAAAGAAGGGAGAAAGTTTCCGGCAGAGGGGGTGGGGTGAGAGAGATGGAGAGGATGGCACACCCCAGAAGGAAGGGAGCTTGAGTCTGAATGTAAGGATGGAGGAAAGGGCCACAGGCAGGAATTTGAACTTCTTCCTGAGGACAAGAAGAGTCCTAAAAGATTTCTGAACTGAGGAAGGATAGTTGTAGGCAAGTCAGTATTCTAGAACAATCCTCAAATGAGGCCTGAGATGGACTAAATGCTGAGACCAGTATAAAAAGTGCAGGGTACAGGCTTCCTGATCTGCAAGGAAGCAGGAGGGTCAGTGTGGATCCTGAAGAGTTGGTGGAGTACTCCAAGGTGTGAAGTTTGGGAATAGGGCCAATTACAGGAAGGTGTTTCTGGCTGAATGTCCTGGATTCCCCAAGCTAGCTATGGCATATCCTCTCTTGTCATTTTATTTCAGGGCCACAGTAGAAAATTCAGATTCTAATTAACTGCCTCATTATATATAGGAGCTCAGAGCTGGGAGAGGTAGGCTTAGAGTGTTTCCAGGGGTGAGGGTTTAAATCCGAGCTGAGGTCAGAAAGTGGGGCTCCAGATTCCCCATTTAGTGGCTCTTTTCTGTGTCCCACCACTGTTTTCCTATCCATTTTGTAGACAGAAGTAAAACCAGAGAGAGCAAAGGGATTGCCTGAAGTAATGAGTCAGGGAGAAAGCCAATAGAGTACACTCAGAGAGGCCCTTTCGGGTTTGCAGTCATTGTGGAGGGCAGCCCACATATGCACATACATACTCAGGTGCAGGTAAGAGGAAGATGGGCTTGATGCTGTCTCCAGGTCATATATGGACTTGGGAACTGCTGCCCAGCAGGCCAGCCTGGAGGGAGAGGGGCCTACTGCAGCCTGATCCAGTTGGAAAGTGTGACTCAGCTATGCTGTTGCCCCAGTTGCCTGGTGTTTGGCCTGTCACTGGGGCAGCCTGAGCCCTAAGCCGTGCACCCCAGTGTAAACAATGGCTTTATAAGGTCTCCAGGGAAGGCACCAGGGGCGGGAGGGGGCTCCAGGTTGGGGGAGGGAGGCCAGGATCCCCGGGAAGATAGCCCAGCTGGAAGAAGCTTCAGAGAAGAGGCTGCTTCTGTTCCATGGTGCAGCTGGGGAAACAAGCCCCATGTGGGACAGGGATGACCCTAAGGGCACATAGCACATCAGCAGCAGAGCCAGGAACCTTTCACTCATCTTTAAGTGTTTTCAAGATCTGAAATGAGGTAGGGAAAGGCTGTACTGTCATAAAGAGGAGAAAACAAAGTCACAGAACAGGTCAAGGCCTTATCTAGTATTCACAGATGATTTAGGGTATAATCTGGACTGAAACAGGTTTTCTGCCTCCCGGGCTTCTTCCTTAAAAGAGTCTCAGGTGAGCTGAGAATTGGCCTGAGTGTGTCTGCAAACGTACAAGACGGGAGGTGGTCTTGGGTTGTCTTATGTCTTGGAAACAGGATCAATCCTTCCCATGGCTTCCCTGCCAAAGCAAACTTATTCAGCAACATTGACCAAGTGCTTACTATGTGCCACACATGGCAGATGGGAGGAAATAAGGCAGGAAAGGCCTTGCTTTGGGAGAGAGGGGGAAATAGAGCCAGAGACAGCTCTGGAGTTGTCAGTTGCATCGTAGTCACAACCTATTCACCCCAGAGCACAGAAAGGGCTCCTGCAATAGGGAAAATAGGGCTTTACTCAGGTGCCTAGTGAGGTCCAGCCCTACATCTGCTGTGAGGCTTGCAACAAACAAGGGGCAGCCCTGACCCCTAAGCAAACAACTCCTCTGGTCTGTGACTCAGTTTCCCTATCTGTAAAGTGCAACTTGCACTCTGAAGGATGGTCCAGCTCAACTCTGAGCATGTTGTAGATAGTCCATTGGTATTGGTTGGTACCCTCATTTGTGCCCCCTTCTCTACCCAAGGCAGATGATTAGGGTGCAAGAACCCCCACACACACACACACTCGCTGGGTGTGATGGTGCACGCCTATAATCCCAGCAACTTGGGAGGCTAAGGCAGAAGGATTGTAGTTTGAGGCCATCCTGGGCAACTTAGCAAAATTTAAAATAAATGAATAAATAAAGGCCTGGGATGGTAGTTCAGTGATAAAGCATCCCTGGGCTCAATCTCCACTACTGAGGCAGGAGGAGGAAGAACCCCCACCGACACTCACCACACACAAGTGCACATGCATGTACATACACACACACTTCTTGGCCTCCCTTTCCAGCAGCAGGGTTATCCCTGGAGCATGGATAAGAGAATCCTTAGGCTGCTTGACAGTAAGTACCAGATCAGGAAGCTGACAGAAAATTATCAGGGCCCAAAAATCCTAGCCATGAAATGATTTGTCAATAATGACACCCCTCTGTGTGCAATGGCCCAGCTCAGAGGCTTTTACCACTCGAGTGTGTTAGTGAGGGTGAGCAGGAGACTTAAAGGTCTCGAGTCAGGAACTCCCCAGTTCTGAAGGGCTGGTAAAAGAGACCCACAACCTGTTTGGGGTGGGACAGGCTCTGTCCCCATCCCCATCCCTCAATCTCCTCTACCTGCCTAGTGTAATATGGGTACTGTTATCTCTGGGATTGGGCTGGTGGGACCAGGGCTTCTTGCGCTCCAGGAAGGCTTTTTGCCCAATCGATGAACAGTAGAGTTTATGAAAGACCAATAGGCTGCAGCAATGAAAAGACCTCGCGTAGAGGGGCATCACAAAATGTGGGCTGGTGCTGACAAGAATCCCGGTACCCGCTCCCTGCAGGATGCTGGTGGACTGCGTGCCCTTGGTGGAGGTGGAGGACATGATGATCATGGGCAAGAAGCCCGACCCCAAGTGCGTCTTCACCTATGTGCAGTCGCTCTACAACCACCTGCGGCGCCATGAGCTGCGCCTGCGTGGCAAGAATGTTTAGCTGCACCGCCCGCACCGCCGGCCCGCAGCAGGTTGCCGCCCCCACCCTCCCGGCACTGTCTCTTCCCTGTGCTCCCGCCCACCGCTGCCTTGTCTGTCGCGACACCCTCCTCCGCATACACACGCGTTTTGATAAATTATTGGTTTTCAACGATCCTGACTGCCTCTCTTGGGGGAGGGGGCCGAGCTGCGAATTATCCCTGGAAGGGCCCAATTCCCGCAGCCAAGCGTTGGGAATGCGAGGTCTCCCAGTGGTATTTGGAGCACCCATTCCGACCTATCATACCATCTGCCTGTAGCAAAGAAGGAGAAGAGCCTTGGTTAAGGTGGAAGAAATTTAGTGGAGCTGAGGAGGGAAGAAAAGGGGGCTAGGAAGAACCTCCCCCACCCCACTTCTGCTGGCTCGGAGACGAGGTGTCGGCCCTCAGCAAGGGAGGCGCTCCCGGGATGCTGAGCGCTTCATTGGGTCTCCGGGACTCTGGCAGGGTGGCTCCAGCCCCGCCGCACCTCCGGACCTACAGGTCAGCGCGGTCAGAAGCTTCCCCGGGGGGTTTAGCTGGCGCCCACAGGTACTCCTGAGGCACCTGCGCATCCGGCGCAGCCTTGCGGTAAAAGCCGAGTTCCAGCACCAGCTCGTTGATTTCCTTGCGGGTCATTTCACTGAGTGGGATGCGCTGAGGCCAAGAAGGGGTGAGGTCAGCATGTCGAACCCCGACTCTCGCTCCGCCCCCACCCGCCTCCCAAGTTTTCACCTCTAGTTCCTCATAGCGACGGCCCAGCAGCACCAACTCGGGGTCGGCCCCAGGGAGGTGTTTCATCACCAGGTTGTGGCTGAAAGGAGTGTTAAGGGGAGTAGTGGTGGACAGAGGGAGCTGGGGCTCCTGGAGCCAGCAATACCGCCTTTGCTGAATGCTTATTCTGTGCCCAAATGGGATCCCCACTTATACGCAAGGAAATTAGGGTTCAAAGAAATAAAGGGTCTTTATCTCCAGTTTCTTTCTTGCCTACCCAATTTGAAGACCACTTTAGAATCCTCTGGGCAGTCAATACCAATCAATTCTGTTGTCCAATGAAAACTATTTACCATCTCTTAATTGTGAAATTCAATAAAAGGAGATTCTCCCAGGTGCCCTCCTCATGTCCCCTTCTCCAGAATAAAAGGATACTAGAATGGAATGTCCTGAGTGACGAATGCCTTCACCTGGGGAGGAACCAGAGCATCAGAGAACATGTCCCCTTCCCTTTCCTCTGTTCCCTATCTTTTTTTTTTTTAATCATGTTGGCCATTCCCCAAGAGGCTCGAGGGATACAGAACCAGATATCCCCTTCTTTCAAACTCACCTCCTTTAGGCGGTTCAGCTGTCATCCTCCACAGGTCTGGAGGGGGACAAAATGGGATAGGTCAGAAGTGCCTCATTTTACCCTAATCTCACCCCCAAGACCATTACATCTTCATCCTTGAATTGGGTTGAACTGTTGAGTTATCCCTAGAAGAGCAATTCCCAAGGAATGAAGGAGGCGAATGAAGGTCCCTTGTGGGCAGAAGGAGGAACTCTATGGTGAGAGAAACTCAAGCCTAGAGAAACTAATGAAATAGGTGCAGGGCCAGACACCCATAGGGGGTTTGCCAGCCCTGGGGCTCTTGAATGAACCTATTGATCATTAATTCCTAAAGACAGACATAATAGCTCTGCCCTTCTCAGGAAGTAGAGACCTGGGTCTGACCTTTTGCCCCTGAAATCTCAATAAAGAAGCAGACCAGAAGGAAACAACTCAGAACTGCCCTGGGGGCCCCCATTAGAGGCACCTGCCATCTGGTCCCTGCCCCACCCATGCAGAGTGGGGCCCTGCTAGCCACCTGTGGCCCAGCTCCACAGACCATCTGTCAGATTCCCTAAGGTAGGATGGGAGCATCCCTCTATGCATTCCCTGAGGAGAGGCCATCTCAGCAGGAGTTCAGACCCCAGGACCACCCATTCCAGCCTCCTTCATCCTACCCACTTTTGTCAGACAGGAAACTAAGATTCTGAGAGAAGCTGAGATGGTTCAAATCACATTGTAAGACAGACTTTGCTATGGAATTTCCTGGTCGGGGAGGTTGAAGGGGACTGCTGCATAATAAGTATTGATAACAGAGTTTCCAGCCCCCTTCCCTGGCTTCTGCAGAGTAAAGGGAGGTGCCCAGAAAGTCATTCCTCCCCAGAAGAAGGAAGAGAGATTCTCTGGAGCGCCAAGCCCTAGAACTGGGATGGGGGAGGAATTCCAGGAATAAGTGGAGTGATAAGAGGGATGGGAAGTTGGGCTCCCAGAAGCGGGTTTGGGGAGAGTCCTAGACTAGCAAAAAGTCAGAGACTGGGCCTGTTTGTCCAGGGACCTGCTGTCGGGCCAGAAAGAGAGAAAGGCAAGGGTTTGGGATGCCAGGCTGAAAGGTAAGCATCCGGGGGCTGGGGAGGGGGAGGGATGGTCCTGGCGCTTTGGGGGAGGAAAGGAGGGCGGTCGGGGGTCGGGGTGTTCCTGGAGCCAGAGAGAACACTAATCTCAAGGTTGTGGGGCCTGTAGGGCTTGCGGGTTGTGGTGCTGGGGTTGGGGGCCGGCTCACTCACCTCTACCCGGGCCCGGGCCAGGCCGCGCAGACGGTTCCAATCCGGCCGGTAGGTGGTGGCGGTGGTGGCTGGGGCCACAAGCGCCGCAAGAAGCAGCAACACTGGCGGCGGCAGCAGCAGGAAGCTCATCGGTACCCAGCTGATGATCTGCAGGCCACTGCGCCACGTCTGGGCCAGCAAGCTGGCAGGGTCTCCAACAGAGGCCCCGCCCCGCCCGAGACCACGCCCCCAGCGCTAGGTCTCCACCCCTGGCTCGCGTGGATGCCTCCCACTAGCTCCTGGCTCTGTCTTGACTCTTCTCTGACACCCGAACCTTCACTTCCCGAATCACGAGAATGTCGACGCTTCTTTTGTCAAATGAGAGCGTGGACGCTCCTGCATGCTGCGGCCAGACAGCGCCACCTCACGCCAGCAGAGGGTGCAGACGGGCCGTGGACAGACACGGGTTTCTGGGTCAGATCCTTGAGTTTAATATAGGGACATTGAAATCTGGGGAATCCTTATTTGTGCATTTAATATCTTTGTACGAAATTTCGATCAATGTTCAATTGCCCAGAGCATATTTTATAGTAAGAGAATATTAATACTTCGTGGGGGCTGGGATAATAAAAGGATTAATAGACTTAAAGCTTATTAGAACAGGATCTGGACAGTGCTGGCTTTCATTATCAGTTCATTCCTTACCTCATCTTTACCAGGCCCCCTAAACTGTATTTTGCTGTTTAGGAAACAGACTTAAAAAGGTGAAATAGATTAAGTTGTAGATCTGGGATTTGAACCCAAAACATCTCTGTGCTCAGCTCACCAGACCAAAGATAACTAGATCAAAGTACCATTTCCCCTCTTCATGCCTTCAGCAAACACAGGAAGTATAGTCAGCTCTTTGTCACACTGTGGATTAAATCAACCTCAAGTTGAAAAATATTTGGAGGGGCTGGTGGTGTGGCTCAGTGGTAGAGTGTTCAACTGACACTGTCAGGCACTGGGTTCCATCCTCAGCACCACATAAAAATAAATAAAATAGGGATGTAGCTGTAGCTCAGTGGCAGATAGCTTGCCTAGCACTTGTGAGGCACTGGGTTCAATTCTTAGCACCACATAAAAATAAACAAATACAATAAAGGCATGATGTCCATCTACAACTACAAAAAAATTAAATAAACAAGTATAATAAGTGTACTGTGTCCATCTACAACTAAAATTTTTCAAAAAAATATTTGGAAGTAAAAATCGCATCTGTACTGAACACATACAGACTTTTTTATTGCTATTTCAACCAATATGGTATTAACTACTAAACATACTGCTTACATTGTATTAGGCATTGTTATTTCAACCAATATGGTATTAACAACTAAACATACTGTTTACATTGTATTAGGCATTGTAAGTGATCTACAGATAATTTATGGAGCCAGGCACGGTGCATGCCTGTAATCCCTCAGGTAGATTGCAGTTTGTGGTGCTGGAGCTGGGGGCCAGCTCACTCACTCAATCTCAACTTTAAGGCCAGCCTGAACAATTTAGGAAGACCCTGTCTAAATAAACAGAACTAGGGATATAGAGCCCCAGTGCTATCAGTAGTAAAGTGCTTGTCTACTATGAGCAAGGCCCTGAGTTTATTCTCCAGTTCTGCACAAATAAAGTGCACAGGAGGCTGTGCACAGGTTTTATGCAAAGGCTACACCAACTTTATATAAGGACTTGAATATCCTCATATTTCATTATGGAGAAAGTCTAGAATCAAACCCCTGCAGATACTGAGGGATCACTGTGCTCTTTCCACTGAATCTAGAGAATCCTTTTCAACCCTGAGCCAAAGCTGCATGAATTGTAGGAATTTTGACTTCTTGGGCTTCTTCCTCCATTTAAAAAAAGATACATATTACTTACTGCAGGAGCAGTGGTGCACATTTGGGAAGGCTGAAGCAGAAGGATTCCAAGTTGCCAGACCAACCTCAACAACTTAGTGAGACCCTCAGCAATTTAGCAAATCTGTCTCAAAAATGAGTAAATAGCCAGGCATGATGGCACATGCCTTTAATCCCAGAGGCTAAGGCGGGATAATTTCAAGTTCGAGGCCAGTCTCAGCAATTAATGAGGCTCTAAGCAACTTAGCAAGACCTTGTCTCAAAATAAAAAATAAACAGGACTGGGGATATAAATAAACAGCACTCAGTGATAAAGTGCTCCTGGGTTCAATCCCAAATACAATAATAAAAATAAGTGAATAAAAATACATATTAAAAATTGGATTTTACAACTGCCTTGATAAAAAAGATGATAAAATCCAGGCTAGATTCATTTCATTGTTGTGGTTGTTGTTATGTGGGGGTTTTTTCCATTTTAAAAGAAATTAAAACAGTGACCCACTCCTGCAATCCCAGCTGGGAGGCTGAGGCAGGAGGATCACAGGTTCAAAGCCAGCCTCAACAACTTAGTGAGGCCTTAAGCAACTTAGTGAGACCCTGTCTCTAAGTAAAATATATTTTTAAAAAGGGCTGGGGATGTTGCTTAGTGGTTAAGAGCCCCTGGGTTCAATCTCCAGTGCCAAAATAAACAAAAGGAAGAAAGAAAGAAAAAAAAATTAAAACATTTTCACAGACCCATGAAAATATTGTGGGCCCTAGACACTGAACCTACTGTGCCTCTGGATAAGTCACACCTGCATTGAGCCCTTTGCTTGCACCCTGCAACTTCCCCTTCACTGACTTGATTTTGAAGATATAAAAATAATTGCCTTGGAGATGTTTTTTAATATCTGTTTTCTATAAATGCATGAGCACATTGAGAATATGATTGGAGTGGACTATCTCTAACACTATTCACGGCCATGGAAGTATGAATTCATCCAAACTTCCTGAAGGGCAATTTGATTCAGTATGTCAACACCCTACAAACAGTTGTTTGACCCTATAATTCCACTGCTCAGAATTTGCCCCAAAGTAATCATCAGAGAAGGGACCAATTGTTAGGTCAAGGTTGTTTATCAAATATACTGTAAGTTTGTGACAGCAGAGGATGAATTTAGTAAATGATAGTAGTTCCACACAATGGAAAACCATGCAGTTGTTTAAAATGATGTATCATAATGTTGAATGACATAAAGAATGTTCATAGTTATGGTATTAAGTAACAAAAGCAAAAAAGCTTCGAAACTGCAATATAGTAATATCAGTTGCAAGTTGTGATGCTCTTTGTAACTTAAACTGGCTTAAACAATAAAGGCTCAATGATTTTTAAAACTTAGCTTAACCAATTGAAACCTATTCTCTTAAAAATATTTTTAATCGTAGATGGACATAATAACTTTATTTATTTATTTATTTTATGGTGCCAAAGATTGAACCCATTGCCTCACATGTGCTAGGCAAACACTCTACCATTGAGTTACAACTTCAGCCCTAAGACACCCCCTGCTTTTTTTGTGTGGTGCTAGAAATTGAACCCAAGGTTTTGAGCATGTGAGGCAAGCATTCTACCCAAGACCCCCTGCTTTTTTTAAAACAATTTTTGTGGCAATTTTATTTAGGTACAATTAACATACAGTAAGATTTGTCAATTTTTGATTGTGTGTGTATTTGGTGCTGGGGATTGAACCCAGAGGCCTTGTGCATGCGAGGAAAGCACTCTACCAACTGAGCTAAATCCCCAGTCCCCAAGACCCCTTCTTAAAGTGAATCATATTCTGGTTCCTGTTACGAAGACAAACTGCAATGAATGTTGTGATGACAACATAGCCACCAACGAATTTTATAAATGTATGTATGAATACATATGCCTAGACAAAATCTAGATGGAAACAATTCAAAAAGTGAAAATGATCATCTCTTGGTGGATAAAATTATAGGTGAAATTTTTTCTCTTTTATGCTTTTTCCTATATTTTCTATAGTAAGTGTGTACTACTTAAACACAAATGGTAAACTCTTCCAAAACAATGGAACATATCCCACTAGTTCCCTCTACTCTGCTTCTACTTCAACCCCAAACTACCCCAGCAAGGGCCCCAGAGTGACTGAAGCCAGAGGCCCCACAGAGCCTGTGGTTTTTTTGCTGACAGAGCCAAATCCCAGTGCCCCCATGGGCCCTTATTGTTCATTGGACAAATGCCACCAAACCACTCTCATTGCATTAACCTGGACTCTGTGGTCTGAAGGGGCCATAGTTTGGGCTGCTGAGGCTTGACCATCCAGCCAGTGGAACCAGCAGTGGAGACAGTGGCCACAATAGTACCAGGAACATTCTGGCAATCAGCAGTAGAGGAGGCCTAAAATCTCCCAGGAAAGATCTCGGTTCATAATTAATGCCCCTTATGTGGAAGCATGCAATCTAGGCCAAAATAGGGCTAGGACTAGAGTTTAGGCTGTGATGGGGTCAGGTTCAAATAGTGTCAAGTGAACACTTAGATTAAGAACAGGTTTAAGGTTTAAGGTTTTGGTAGCATAGACCTGCAATCCCAGAGATTCCAGAGACTGAGGCAGGAGAATATCAAGTTCCAGGCCAGCCTTGGCAACTTAGCAAGACCTCATCTCAAAATAAAAATAAAAAGGCATGAGGATATAATTCAATGGTAGAGCACCTTGGAGTGAGTCTCCTGCACCTTGAAAGGGACAGGTTTAGAATTGAGTCTGGGTTGGAATGATTAGGCTCAGACTTCACAAAACTCCATGATTAAGTTCAGAGCTCAAACTCTTACCAAATTCAGGGCATAGCCAGAGGTCAAGACTCAGGAATCCAAAGTTTGCACCACCCAGGGTCAGAATTTAGTCTGAGATCAGGGTTCAGTCAATGATTAAATTTGGGGCTCAGTTTGTGAAGTGAACAAGATCAGGGTTTAAGCTTCCACCAGAGTCAGGATTCAGTCAAAAACAAGGTTTACTTTAGACTAGGGTTAGTGATCAGTCTGTGATTAGGGCTCAGTCTTAGGTTAGGATCAGGGCTCAGTCTAGGTCAAGAATCAAGTTCTCAAATTGGGATTGGCCTTTTGCTGAGCTTGGATCAGGGCTCAGTATGTGACTAGAGTCAGGGCTTATTCTAAGGCAATGGTCATAACTTAGTCTAGAGATGGAGTAAAGGCTCAGCCTTGACATGAGATCAGGGCTCAGTCAACATCAAGATTAGGGCTCAAGTTGGATGTGGTATCAGGGTCATAACCAGAGTTTACTGTGACTCTATGTTCTGTTCTGAACCCCAATAGAGATGCTTCTGGAAACATGGGAGCAGGGCAGTCAGTCTGCAAGAATTGAGAGCCCCCAGCTAAGCTTAGTACAATCTAATCCCTGCAGTAAGCTTTCCCTTGCTTGCTAAGGACGGGTGTCCTAGAGCCTTCTAACCTACATGGCTCTGCTGCTCAAGATCCCCTCGCACCAGAATAAAAATAGCCACTCACTTCAGAGCAGCTGACAGCGGGTGCCAGGCTGCCTGGGAGGAGGGGGAGCCAAGGAGAGGGAGGAGGGATGCCTGAGCTCAGCCCCAGCTGTGTGACCTTGGGAAAGTCACTCCTTCTCAAGCCCATTTCCTGAGTGGCAGAATGGGAGGGGGGGGTGAGGACGACCTTCCCCAGAGAGTAGAAACAAAGGGGCAGTGATATAACATATAACATATGGCACTTGTTACCAGCAAGGAAATTTGAAGTCTTGGGAAAATAAATGCTCCTTTGTTCCCTGTTCACCTCGTTCTCCCTAATGCTTACCTCTGTCACCTTTCCACAATACCTTGTTTCATCCTCTATGTCTTTCTAGACATTTCCCACATAGTGGCCATAGTGGGACCTCCTTCAGGACGGGCCTGGGTCAGGGTGACCAGAGAAGGAAGAACAAACCCTTCTGTACCATTGCCATCCTCAAATACCCATGGAAGGAGTAAAAGGAGAATGAAGAGGAGGAAAAAGGAATTTTTATTTCTCTTTCCCCTGCTCATGGTGTGTTTAGTCTGAGCCAAAAGTCTGGAAGGGCACATGTCCAAATTTTGTTTCCTCTCACAGCCAGAACCTTCTACACCCCATCTCTTTGCACCTGCCATTCTCTCTGCTTCCTAGGGCATTTATCCTCTTCAATTTGGCATCGTGTACTTTCCTTCCAAGCAAGGGTTCAATAGTCATCTCTTCCGCAAAGCAGAATTATCCTCTCCCTCTCTAGTGCTCCATTCTCTGTGGGGGTCTCAGTTTTTTCTTCTGTCAAATATGGGTCTTATGACCAATCTTTCAGGGTAATTGTGGAGAGTAAATGGGATAACTGTCAACCACCCGTCTTCCCTTCTTATCACCCAAACAGCCTAAAGGGAAGCACTTAGAGTTTCCAGAAAGGGGCTGGCCAAGCTGTACTTCTGCCTTGGTACACCACTCCTCCCTGCAGAATGAAGGAAAGGAGGGAGCCAGGAGGAGCCTCAAGAGACAGCCGTCTCCAGGGGGGCGGTTCTCCCTGGCAGCTGCCCCCGGCCTGCCGCCCTGAGCCCCAGAGCCTGTTATCAACCTCCTGAGTCATCATACCAGGAGTTCAAATATAGCTCTTACTAGCTCCCTTCTCAGCTGGGGTCCACCCTCCACCACCCCCTTCCTGTTCCTTTCCCCTTCCTCCTAGGAATACAACCATTCCAGGCCTCAGTTTCAGCATCTACCAAATGGGTGGGCTGGAGTAGATAATGACGGTGATGATGATGATAACGATGATGATGATGATGATGAAGAAATGATGATAATGATGATGATAACTACTGAGCCTTTACTGAGAGCTTGCTTATGCCAGGCTCTATGCTAAACACTTTGTATCTATTATTTTGTTTAATCTTCACAGCAAACTATGGAGGCATCTAGTGTTTTTTTTTTTTTTTTTTTTTTTACCTCCCTTACACAAGTCAAGAATCTCAGTGACCTCACCAGGTAAATCAGTAACAGGGGCAGAAATAAAGTCCCCTGCCAGCTCCGAGCTCAGGGAAGGGAGATCATGAGAAATCCTGGGTTGTCCTCCTAGCACAGAGGAGCTCTCTGTGCAGTCATTTGCATGACATTTGCGTAGCTTCCAACGGGCATTGGTGCCCTGTCCTAACCCTAGGAGTGGTCCTAGAGGCCTGTATCTTCCTCCCATCCCCTCCAGAATTGCATCAGAAGCTGGTACTCTTGGGGGCCTCAGTTTTCCACTTGTTTAATAGGAGTCAGAGGACTGGGCAAGGTGAATTCAAATTTTTCTTCCCTTTCTAATAATCACCTCCATGTCCACTCTCACATCCTCCCTCATTGCCACCTTACCTCTACTCCAACCCCACCACCACCTCTCCCATAATCACAGTACCACCCCATCATCTCTTTTGCCCCCCATTTGTCCTCTGTTTATCCCCAATGACACTTTCCCTTCATTCCATTACCAGCACCATAATCTGTACCTTTGTTATCACCTCCACCACTGCTGTTCTCAACACCTGCACTATTTCTACAATCACCTTTATCCCAACCATCATCACCTTGCCTTTGCCATCACTATCACTTTCTCTTCGTTTACCACCATCACTGTCAATTCCTCACTTCCATTGTTAGTTATGTACATCATCATAGCCATCATCACAGTTACCTCCACCATTAGCACTGTTATCTCTGCCATCACTGTCCAAAGACCTTTCTATTATAGTACCTTAATATGGTCTGTCTTTGTCTTTTCAAATTCCAGCCTCATAAAGATTTGGGCTGGAAATATAGAATAGACCCAGAGGCAGCCAAGTGGAGGTGGGAGAGTAAAGGAGAATGAGGCATCCCCATGACCTTCACATAGGGGACCTCAGAGGCCCATGAAAATACAGATATGACTGTCAACCAACTGGAAGCTCTGGAGACAGAACTCTGAACATTTTAAGCCTGAATTGGGTGGGCTCAGTCCTCCCCAAGCAATCCAGCAGTTCTGAAGAAACTGGTATTTCAGGGACTGCTAAGCAAATAGAAGAGAGTGTGAAGAAGAGACAGAATCATAGACCACAGTCATCCCTGGCCAAATCTGATCCTCATCACTTATTCACTCTTCTAATTCATTTATTCATTTGTTCCTTCATTCAGCAATCATTCCCCTAGGCCTGTTTGCGCCCAGGCCCTGTGCAAGGTCTTAGCCATTGGAGTTCTGAGGCCTGGAGTTTGACCATGGTGCCAAGTCCAATCCCCCACTCCTGGACCTTTCTCCTCCCCAGTACCCATCCCCTACATACCCCCATGGTTACTGAGTATCCTCACTGAAACTCAGGAGACCCTCCTAGTTTACCAGGTGACCTTGAGGAAGTTCCTTCCCAAACCACACCCAGTGAGTACTGGAGAAGGGAAAGCTGAGAAGCTGGGCTAGGACAGGCCTGGATGTGGGGCCTGCTGCAGGCAGCGAAGTGTTTGCAGAAGAGGAGGGGCTGGTGCTGAGGTTGAGATGGGAAAGGACTCCAGTGGCTGGAGCCTGAGTGTCTAGTTCTGGAATGGGAAAGAATGAAGCCAGGCAGGAGGGAGGGTGGAGGGGGGCAGGTACCAAGGCCTGAAAATGGGGCAAGGGTGGGGGCCAAGACAAGGCCTGGGCTAACAGGGAGGTAGGAAGTTTACAAGAGTAGAGCAGGGACTCAGGTGTCTCTGAGGCCTTGGAGAGGTTGTTGACCTCTGAACCACCTGTCCTTGTCTCACCTGCAGGTGTGTCAGTGCTCCTCCCTGGAGAAGGTCTGGCCAGGCCTATTGTCAGGAGGGTGGGGGTAAACAGAATGCCTACTCCTGGGTTCCAGTTGGGACCTGGGCTAGGTGATGGGCATTTTCTGACCCCCATGGTCTTTTCAGCCTCAGCAGCCAACTTGAAGTTTTCCCAGGGGGCAGCCTCCTTGTGAGGGCCACCTCTAGGCAGGAAAGTGGGTGCCTGTGCCTTTAAATTCTCAGCAGGTTGAAACGACTGATGACATCACTGGTTCCCGGGAGCGGAGGAGCTGGAGCCAGAGCCCGAGGGAGCCCGGGCTGCTGGGGGCTGCAGACATGGAGGGCCAGAGCAACAGTGGTAGCAGGAGACCAGGGACTGGGACTCGATTGGGCCCCTTATCTGGGCCACATGGGGTTTCTCAAACTGGGACACCCTCCAAGGTAAGACCCCCAAAACCTAGCCCCCCATTCCTGATCCCTGGTCTCACGCCCCCCACACTGTAGGCACCCTGGCACCCCTGGATAAGGGACTGGCACTCTCCTGTGCCCACCAAGCATGAGCTGAGCAAAGAGGTCACCCTGGAGGCTGAGGGTCAGTGACAGAATGCCCAGAGAGAGAGAGATGGAGTTAGCCATTTCCAGGAATCCCCCCAAAGAGCCCTAGACTGGGTGTCAGGGGACCCAATTATTCTATAGCTTTGCTGTGTGACCTTGGGCAAGTTGCTTGTCTTCTCTGAGCTATTGCAAAATGAGGAGGCTTGTCTCTGAAGACTAAAACTGTGACATCTGGGATGTCTAAGTTGTTAGTGCTGGAGGCGGTGTGGGGGGGTACACAGTGGGACACTTGGAGCCAAGAAGGATGCCCAAAATGCATCCTTTCAAAGAGCTTGAGTTTGGGAAGGGAGGTGGAGGCACAGTTTCAGGTTCTCTGAACCGAGAAGGACACAGGACAGAGACAGAACTGCATCTCTAGAAGCAGGGATGGGGCCACCCTGGGGTGAATGTAGACCTTCTTCTGTCCTCCCTGACAAAGGACACTTTATCCTGTCTTCTGGGGACGGGACATCATAAACAGAGGATGGATGGGAAAGGGAGAGTGGATCCCTGCAGCACCCTACTATTGTCCCCTACCTGCCAGACATAAAGGGGATACTTGGTGGTCTGTCCTCACAGGTGGGGGAGAGGGTGGAGAGGGTAGGAAAGTACGACCTGGACATGGAGAGGTATGACATCAGGATCAACTTCCTCTGAATGGTACAATCACACTTGGTGAGGATAGTTTAATTCCACAACATGTAGGGAATATGAGACCAAGACTCCTCAGAATCTGGTGTGGTCCAGGACCCTTCACCCAGTCCCTTTGCTTTATAGACAGGGAAACCAAGGCTCTGAGCACAAAGGTGCTTGCCTAAATTCACACAGAGCTGGGCCAGGAATGTACATGGCTAGCCTCAGTCCTCAGTTTTTGCCCCTGTGAGGAGCTTTGATAATGGATGACACAGGGAGGAATCTGACCAAGGAGTTGGGGATGTTTTGTTGGGGGAATGGGGCGGGGAGGTGACGGACTATGACGACACAGGATCTGAGGGTTTCTGGCCACCATGGAGAAAAGGAGAAGTACTTAACAGGCTGGACCCAGTGTGGGTGGACCTGGAGTGTCAGTTCATTTGCCCTTGGCCAGGGAGTTGAAGAGACTACAATGAGAGAGTTTCCCCAGGGAAACTGTTCAGGGTAGGCACAGAGTGGGTTCCAGCCAGAAAGAACAGGAGAACCCTCAGATTTAGGCTCACTCTGCTTTATTCAATTCAGGTCTCAGTTTCCCAATATGTGAAACAGGTTTTAGACTTCAAAGATGGGGAGAGAGCTTTTTGCTCAGAGAAGCTGAAGCCAGTTACAGTGACACTCACCTGTGATCCCAGAAGCTTCGGAGGCTGAGTCAGAAGGATCAAGAGTTCAAAGCCAGCCTCAGAAACTTAGGGAGGCCCTAAGTAACTTAGCAAGACCCTGTCTCAAAATTAAAAATAAAAAAGGACTGGGGATGTGTCTCAGTGGTTAGGTGCCCCTCCCCCAGGGTTTAATTCTTGGTACCAAAAAGAGATCCTCTACAAAGTGGACTCAAATTTTCAGCTCCCAGCAAAGAAGAATGCAGCCCCAGTACCCATGGAACCAAAGTTGGCTCTAGCACCTGTGGGGCCACACACAGCTACGTCATCTTCCTCAGAGGGGCCAAGGCTGGCTTTGGCATCTCCACGACCCATCATGACTCCAATGTCTACTCCTGGAGGACAGAAAAGGGTTCCTTCCCACTGCAGCTCTAGTCTGGCTCCAACATCTGTGGGCCAGCTGGTGGTATCTGCCTCAGCTGGACCAAAGCCTCCCCCAGCCACCTCAGGCTCAGTCCTGGCTCCAGCATCCCTGGGGCAACTGGTGATGTCTGCCTCAGCAGTTCCAAGGCCTCCCCCATCTACTCTGCCTCCAATTTCCATGGACCAGAAACAGTTATCACCCACCTCTGTGGGACCCAAGCCAGCACTAGCAGCCTCAGGCTTAAGCCTGGCCCTGGCTTCTCAGGAGCAGCCCCTCCAGCCCCACTCCAGTCCTTCCCCAGTGCTCAGTCCAATTCTGTCGCCCTCTCAGGAGCAGACCCTGGCTCCAACAGCCATGGCCTCAGCTCCAGCTTCTGTAGGATGGACACCAGCTAGACAGAGGGACACCCCAGCCCCCAGACCTCTCCCCACTTCTGAAGGGCATCTCCAGCCTCCAGCTCAGGCATCTGGTCCGACAGGCTCCACATCCTTCATCCAAACCTCCCAAGATCCCCGGTTTTCTTTCTCCTTCCGAGCCCGGCCTGAGGCCCCCCGCAACAGCCCTGAGGATCCACGGCCACCCCAGACCCTGCCTTTGGATGTGAGCCAGGGCCCTCCAGAGCCTGGCACTCGCTCCCCTGGACTTTTGTCCCCTACCTTCCGGCCAGGGAGTTCCTCAGGTCAGACTGTGCCCCCACCTTTGCCCAAGCCACCTCGGTCTCCCAGCCGTTCCCCCAGCCGATCTCCCAACTGCTCTTCCTGTGTCACCCCAGCCCCTGAGGTGGCCCTCCCCAGGTCTAGCACCCAGGGTACAGGACCTGGCACTTCTAGTGCAGGGCTTGTCACCCAGGGTGCAGGACCTGGCAGGTGCCCAAGCCCTAATCTTCAGACCCAAGAAGCTCCAGCCCCAGTCACCATCTCGTCTACATCCACGTCATCCTCCTCATCCTCCTCCTCTTGGTCAGCTCAGCCTACATGCAAGAGCGACCCTGGATTCCGGTGAGTGGACCTTGAGCTTGGAGACTAGCCATTCTTCCAGGGTGATGGTTTACGCTGACTCAGAGTGCCTCCCTGAGGATTTGTCCCTAGGAGGGGTGCTGGGCCCACTTTGGGACACTTAAAAGACATCATCCTTTCCTAAGGGACTTGCTTCGACCTCAGTGTATATCACCAGGGAGAATCTGGTAGGAGGGATTCTGGGTCCAGTGTGGGTTCTTCTAAGAGGATTTTACCCACATCTGCCTCTCCAGAGTCAGCCCTGTGGGAGGGCAGGGGAAGGTGGGTAAGTGGTGCCCAGCAGTAACCTCTCCATACCCCTACCCCCAGGATCACTGTGGTCACGTGGAATGTGGGCACCGCTATGCCTCCAGACGATGTCACATCCCTCCTCCACCTGGGCGGTGGCAATGACAGTGATGGTGCAGACATGATCGCCATAGGGTGAGGGGCAAAGTTCATATACCCCTTTCTCAGCCCCTCAGGCCTCATAGGCCCTCAACTATGATAGGGGTTTCCAATCCATGGCTGCCCCCATCCTGGTACCTCCCCAGGTTGCAGGAAGTGAATTCCATGATCAACAAGAGGCTCAAGGACGCTCTCTTCACTGACCAGTGGAGCGAGCTCTTCATGGATGCCCTGGGGCCCTTCAACTTTGTGCTGGTAATACCTCCCTCACCCTTTGAAAGAGCTTCTGGATTCCTGGCCCCATCTTTTTTCTGACTCTTGTGGGAACTGCTGGGCCTCTGTTGTCCCGTGGGCAAGATAGGGACAAGGTATTGTGTCTTAATCCTCAAAAGCAGTGTCTGCCTCCTGCTTCTCCCTGCAGGTGAGTACTGTGAGGATGCAAGGCGTTATCCTTCTGCTGTTCGCCAAGTACTATCACCTGCCCTTCCTGAGGGATGTGCAGACCGATTGCACTCGCACTGGCCTGGGTGGCTACTGGGTGAGCATGGGAGAGGTCCAGGAGGGAATAGCCCCAAAGGTGGCCCTTAATTAGTCCCCTGGCCCCCGTGCATCTGCAAGGTTTCCTCCTGACGCTGCACCCCCTTACCCAGCTGCCTGCCTCTCCCCAAGCACCAACAACATCACACCCCATTTCTCTAGACCCCGCCCCTATTCTTTACCCACCCTGTCCCAAAGTTCTTTTCCTAGGACCTACCCTTGTTCAATCCTCATCCACCCTCATCCTCTCCTATGCCCTCCCAGCGACTCACTTCCTCGCCTAGGCTCCGCCCATGACCTGCCCAACCCGGCCTCCCTAGGGTAACAAGGGTGGAGTGAGCATACGACTGGCGGCCTTCGGGCACATGCTCTGCTTCCTGAATTGCCACTTGCCAGCACACATGGACAAGGCCGAGCAGCGGAAGGACAACTTTCAAACCATCCTTAGCCTCCAGCAATTCCAGGGACCTGGTGCCCACGGCATCCTGGATCACGAGTATGAGCCAAGGCACTGCCACTTCAAGGCAGCAAGGTGTGGGTGGAGGTGTGAAGGCTAGTGACAGTGTGTGGAGCACCCTCTGGGTGATGCTTGTGGAGAGAGGCCTATTGGGGTGAGTGACCATCCAAAGTACTTGTCGGAATACAAAGACAGATAGCAATTTGATCGAGGGGGCTGAGCTTTAAGGGTGTAGCTTTGCTGAGGGCCTCGAGGGACTAAAGGTTGGAACCTAATTTCCTCCAGACTCACCCCTCTACTTCCTTTTGCTCCTTGATGTCTGAAGGCTCTGGTGCCTCCCACTCACCCACTGGCATCTTTACAGGCTCCAGTGCTGTTGGGTTGGATGGGGGTCCAGAAGGATCTGGATTGGATCCTTCCACCCCATTGACCCACTGAACCCCCACCCTCAAACAGCCTTGTATTCTGGTTTGGGGACCTGAACTTCCGCATTGAGAGCTTCGACCTGCACTTTGTCAAGTTTGCCATTGACAGTGACCAGCTCCATCAGCTTTGGGAGAAGGATCAGGTGGGGAATCCTAGCCCCCACCCCAAACCCCCAAGTACACAGAGCATATTCCTGGGACACACCTGTACCTTAGGTTATGGTCCTTGCCCTCATCCCTACTCCCGGGTGCTGGAAGGTTCCAAGCTGTTGTCCAGTTCTGCCCTTCTGGACCTCCACAGCTCAACATGGCCAAGAACACCTGGCCCATCTTGAAGGGCTTCCAGGAGGGGCCCCTTAACTTCGCTCCCACCTTCAAGTTTGATGTGGGTACCAACAAATATGATACCAGGTAAGCTCTGAAATGGGATGAAGATGTGGGCTGAGGTCTCCTGTGGAAGACTGTGGGAAGAGGGGCAGGAGGCAAGGCCAGAGGTTAAGGCACAGCCCCCTCTAACTCAGGCTATCTCTGCCCACTGCAGTGCTAAGAAGCGGAAACCAGCCTGGACAGATCGTATCCTGTGGAAGGTCAAAGCTCCAGGTGGAGGTCCCAGTCCTTCAGGAAGGGAGAGCCACCGGCTTCAAGTGACCCAGCACAGCTACCGCAGCCACATGGAATACACAGTCAGTGACCACAAGCCTGTAGCTGCCCAGTTTGTCCTGCAGGTGAGTTCTGACCTCATCTTCCCCTCATGACATCCTCTGGCCCAGCTCAGCTTCCCATTGCCCACCTGTAACCCCTTGCATCTGCCTTTAGTAGCATCTATTTATTCTAACAGAATGGGAATGGGTTATAATCTCTATTTTCAGACGAGGAGGCTGAGACTCAGAGATAGGATAGCATCATTTGTCCAGGGTTACACAGCTAAGTAAGAAGAGTTAGGATTTGAACCCAAGTCAGTTGATTGGAGAGTACATGCCTTTTCTACTAAACTTGGACTGATTCCCTTCTTCCAAGAAAGGTTTAGGGTAACATGTTAAAATTCACATATATAATAAGATCAGCAAAATCAAAATGTTACTCAAAACCCCCATATACCATTCATTATTTATTACTTACCATCTGATTGTATGCCCGGCCTTATGACAGTAAGGTAGTAATGGAGAAGGGGAACAGAAATATAAAAAATAAAGAGCCAAACTCAAAATAGTTACTAGAGTTTAGTACCATCTTCTGTATCATGGGTTCACATCCACAGATTCAACCAACTGCAAATTGAAAATATTCAGAAAAAAATTGTGTCCTGTCAGCACAGTGGTACATTTCTGTTACCCCAGTTACTTGGGGTGCTGAGGCGGGAGGATCACAAGTTTGAGGCTAGCCTAGGCAACTTAGACTAGGGGAAGGGGAAGGGGAATATCTCAGTGGTCAAGTGCTTGCCTAGCATCTGTGAAGTCCCAGGTTCAATCCCTAGTGTCTCTCTCTCTCTCTCTCTCTCTCTCTCTCTCTCTCTCTCTCACACACACACACACACACACATGCATATACACACACAAAGATTTTAAAAATTTCATCTGTACTGAACATGTATAGACTTTTTTTTCCTTGTTATTTTCCCCTCAGTAATACAGTATAACAACTATTTACACAGCATTTGCATTGGTAGGTATTATAAGTAATCAGAGAGGATTTGAAATATATAGGAGAATGTGCAGGGTTATATGCACATTACTATACCATTTTATATAAGGGATTTAAACATTCTTGGATATTGGTATCCACCAGGCATCTGGAACCAATTTTTTTACAAATACTGAGGGATGACTATATTGTTTTTAGGGTTGAGGTTCCTGGTTGTTAAAGTGAAAATCCAGCTGGGCATGATGGCATATATCTGTAATCTACTTGGGAGACTGAGGCAGGTTTGAGGTAAACATCAAGTTTAAGATCAGTCTCAGCAATTTAGTGAGACTCTGTCAGAATTTTTAAAAATGAGGTAGGGACTAGAGATGTAGCTCAGTCATAGAGAGCCCCTAGGTTCAGTCTTCAAAACTGCAAAACAAAATAAACAAACAAAAGATGGGGAGGGAGGGAAGAATTCTAGAATGTCAGAACCAGATCTAAAAAATCATGTAGTAAAACTCCCTTTTTTTTTTCTGTGGGAGAATCTGAGGTTCCTAATAGACCCCAAGTTATACAAAGAAAGGCTCATTGGCAGAAGTGGAGCAGGCTAGATCCAGTCTTTCCAACCCTGAAACTCTACACTGAGTTCTGCCAATCTGATAAGAAGAAATCCTGCAGGTCAGAAAATGTTTTTCCTGGTAACTTTGTCCTGTGTCAGTAAGTAGGACAAGGGCCAATGTCTCCAGGGAGTGGAAATGTGCCCATGCCTGGCCTCCCCCTCCCATGATCTATGGTAAAGGACTTGGACTTGAGGTTTAACCCTCAGTCAGGAACCTGACTGGTAGAATGCTTGCTTTCCATGTACAAGGTCCTAGGTTTTATTCCTAGCAACACACACACACACACACACACACACATAAAATTGTTCCTTTTACCCTGTCCTTCCTGCCCTTTCTAAGACTATCTCCCTCAAAAAATGTTACCTGTTGAGTACCTACAATGTGTCAGGCCCTGTGTAGGGCACTTTATGTGTCATCCTTTTAAATGTCCAAATTCTTCTCCCTGTTTTACTGATGAGAGAAACTGAGGCTCAGAGAACCTCAAGTATTATCCAAAGCAATGCCATCAGAATAGGGCTTAGCAGGGGTTTTGACCTTGGGAGGAGATGGAGGCTATTTCCACCAGACTGTTAGAAACCCAGGGACAGGAAGGGAATGTGCCAGTTTTTTCTGGAATAACCTGGCTTAGAAACTGAGGGAAGGAAACCTGAAACCAGATCAACAGGGGAGCAGACAAGGGCCTGAAGCTGGCACCACCTGAGCACTTCTCCTAGGGACACCAGTAGAGCCAGTACCCTGGTTATCTGCCACCCCTGCAGTCCCACCCATTTAGGTGATTCCCCTAACCTCCATCAGTACGGTTGATCCTGGGGGAAGGATACTCATGATTATAATTTGTCTTTGTGGACTGATGACAAGGCAGTTGTTAGTGTGCTGTTCTTGCCAGCTCAGAAGTATTCAGCTTATCCCAGAATGCCCAATATATCATAGGATTTTGCCTGTCCCCCTTGTTAACATGTAGGCAAATTCTTATTACTTACTCTTATACTGTAAAATTTATAAAATGTTTTACAAATGGTATTTCAATGAATCTGTAGAACCACCCCCAAGTGTTAAATAAGAGCCTCTAGTTTATAGACAGGGGCCCTGGCATTCATAGAGGCTGAAGAGCTTGTTCATTGCATAAAGTGCAATGCAGAACCAGGACCAAACTGCGAGAGTCTACTGGCCTCAAATCTGTGTTCCACTCACTCCCTGAGGAGGCAATGGGTAGAAGGAATCCTGGGCTAGAAGACAGAAAGCTTGATGTTTATCCTAGACCTGTTGTACCTCAGTTTCCCAGTCTATGAAATGGCCTCATATTCCTTTGTCTCAGCTGATTTGTGCTGACTCCAACCCAAGAACCCTAGGTGTGTGGAATGCTAGAGGGTTTCCCCTGAGATTGCCCCCTAACCCTGCCTTGCCTGGACAGTTTGCCTTCAGGGACGACCTACCACTGGTGCGTCTGGAGGTAGCAGATGAGTGGGTGCGGCCGGAGCAAGCTGTAGTAAAGTATCGCATGGAAACAGTGTTCGCCCGCAGCTCTTGGGACTGGATCGGCTTGTACCGGGTGAGAAAGGCAAGGGTGGTTGGTGTATTAGGGGAGGAAGTGCCCTGGAGGAACAGCTGAGGGTCAATGCTGTGTCCAGTGTTTGGTGTTATTCCCAGAGGCTACTGGGAAGGGGTATTAGAGGTCACAGTCCTCATTCTTCTTGTCCCAGGTGGGTTTCCGCCACTGCAAGGACTATGTGGCTTATGTCTGGGCCAAACATGAAGACGTGGATGGGAATATCTACCAGGTACTTAGAAGGAAAGGGAATGTAGGGAGACCTCAAGACTCATCTTGAGGTAGCCCCCTTAATCCCAACTTGGGCTTATACCCCTGGGCCCATCAGGTGACATTCAGTGAAGAATCGCTGCCAAAAGGCCACGGAGACTTCATCCTGGGCTATTATAGCCACAACCACAGCATCCTCATTGGTGTCACTGAACCCTTCCAGGTAAGTAGGTCAGACTGCAGGGTCATGGGATGCCAAAAGGCCCTGTTCAAATGCCAAAGCCTCCACATTCTACTCCGAGACCTCAGACCAGTAGCCCAATTCCCTAGGTCTGCCAATGGGAGGATTGGAGTGGTTTCAAGAGGCCTCTGTGGCCAGGTTGGGGAGTGGGGTGCTCCAGTAACCAGCATTCCCCTCAGATCTCGCTGCCTACCTCGGAGTCAGCCAGCAGCAGCACAGACACCTCGGGCACCAGCTCAGAGGGTGAGGATGACAGCACTCTGGAGCTGCTTGCACCCAAGTCCCGCAGCCCCAGTCCTGGCAAGTCCAAGAGACACCGTAGCCGCAGTCCAGGCCTGGCCCGTTTCCCTGGTCTTGCCCTTCGGCCTTCATCCCGTGAACGCCGTGGTACCAGCCGTAGCCCATCACCCCAGAGCCGCCGGCTGCCCTGGGTGGCCCCTGATAAGAGCAATAGTAGTGGCAGCTGGGGAAGTAGTGAGGAGGGGCCTTCTGGGCTTCCTGGCCCCTGGGCCTTTCAACCAGCTGTGCCTCGAAGCCTGGGCCTGCTGCCAGCTTTGCGTCTGGAGGCTGTAGATCCTGGTGGTGGTGGCTCCTGGGGACCTGATCGGGAGACCTCTGACCCTGACAGCCTATCTCCCAGTCCCCAGGGACGTCAAGGACTAGAGGAAGGGGGCCTAGGGCCATGAGGATGGGGTAGGCAGATGGGCCCTGGTGGCCCCACTCTGCTCAATCTTCCACAAACCTGCCTGCCTCTCTTCTGCTGCTGCTCCAGCTGTATCTGTACCTACCACTCTGTCCTGGCCAGGGGTGGCCAACTAGGGTCCCCCCAAACTCAGTCCTGGCACTTTAACTGTGATAATCAGCAAAGCCCCGCCTGGACCCCCATCTGGATTGGTACCCCCATCTGGATTGGTGGGGGAGCACTGGCAGAAATCCTAATCTTGGAGTACATCCATTAGGAATTAAATTCTCCAGCTTCACTCCTGGCTGTTTCCTAACTTCTTAGCAGTCTGGGGATGGGGGTAGTTAGTCAGAAGCAGAGAATAAAGAGGTAAGAGAATGACAGAATTGACATTTACCAGGTACTATATATGGGATTCATGCCATCTCCTTTAACCACAACCAAATGGGTTCAGTGCCATTCTTAGACTCAGGCATGGGAGAGCAAATTGAGGTCTCCAAGAGGTTACATCAGTTTCTCAGGATTTTACACCAAAGCAGTTTGGCTGTGTTAGAGAAGGAATATTTACTAGGTGCTAAGTGCTATAAGTATGTATATATTAGTTCACTTGATCCCCAAAAGACTATGAGGTAGCTCTGGTATACACACACACCCTTTTCAGAGGAGGAAATCAAGGCTTAGAACAGGGGAGGGAGGTCCTTTGCCCCAGTGCACAGAACAGATTTGAATTAGGTTTAGGGCAGAAAGAATGGTCCAGGCCTAGGCTAGGAAGGTTGTATCAGCTATTAAAAGAAGGAGCCCCCTAGAAAGAGAGGAGTTGGGAAGCCCTCTCCAGTGCCCCCATCCTGGATTCAGATGCAGGTACTTCTGTGACATTCCTAGCTTCCTACCAGCTGCCCTGGGCTTCATGATAAGGTGCTAGGGCTTTCCTAGGCAGGTTATTGAGACATGTATTAATTTTGCAACATGAATACACATATACCTCCTTCTGGGACCTCCTGGGGCTGCTGCAATAAGTTACTCTCCCCATTTCCATTCAAATATGAAGTTTCCTGTATAAGACCCTAAGCCCAGGGCATTAGAGTGAGCCTCCTGAATACCACGTTCACAAAACTTCACAGAGGGTTTTTGTCACCAGCTTAAGGTCACCCAGCACTGCAGGAGACATGCTCTGGTATTTGAGCTTTAAGGTCCCCCACCTCTAGCCTCCCGGCTTTCCATAAGAGCTTCTGCCATGCTGCAGTCTAACCCACGGAGAAGAGGCCAAGATTCCCAGTGCTTGGTCAAGCTAGGGATAAGGTCCAAGCTGATGCTCAAGAGAACTGGAACTGAGGTCACTAGCTCCAGAATTTCTGCTGCCCATTAAGTCTCCAGGTTGCCTGGGTTAGCTGCAGGCACTGGTTGTAGAATGACACAGGAGTCCCTGCGGACTCCAATGGCCATGCCTGCCCTTCCTCTGTGTGTTTATCCCTGAGTTGGAATCGTATCTTCTGAAGTCGCCGCAAGTGCCGTGCTGACACCTTGATGGCCCTTGGGTCTTTGGAACAGCTGTTGGAAGAGAACCAGATGGTCAGCACTAGCAGAATTCCAGCCTACTCTGCAGACAATGGGATCAATGCCCAGAGAGGATCAGGAGCAAAGCTAAGGTCACAACAAGGCAGAGAGGGCACGGTTATACCTAGAAGGTAGGCAGAATAAACCTGATCTGGTCCCCAGAGGCCTGGGTTCTGTTACTACCTGGCTATGGGAACCTGAGCCAGTACAGGCCTCAGTTTCCTCTTCATCTGTAAAGTGGGAATAATAAGGGGCTGGCTTTGAGAATCAGAATCCAAATGAGATTGAGGATTAGGAATGAACATTAAGCATTTTACTGTGTTTCTGGCAAGTCTTAGTATATCACACAAGACGTTTCCTTGGCTTGTATAACCACTTTACAGATAAGGAAATGGAGGCTTGGAAAGGTGAATCAACTTGTCAAGGACACACAAGAATTACACGACAGAGCCAAGATGCAACCCCAACAGGCCAACTGCCAAACTGGATCTGAGGCAATAGGGGATAGGGGACAGATGACAGAGAAACTCAGAAACCTCCTGACCCTTTCCCCACCTGCTTGGGCCAGGTACACAATTGGGGTATAGGTAACCCATCCCTTGGGGAAAAAAAAAACAACATATTTCCTGGCTTTGCCATCACTTACCCTTTGTCCTCAGCACAGTCCAGTGAAGGGACCAGTTTGAAGCAGGTGGTGCCCAGCAACTCCCAGAGCATGTTGGCACCTGCAGGTGGGCTATGGAGCCTCAGGAAGCGTGCCAGACTGGGGGCAGAGTTAGGCTCAGGCTAGGTTTGAACCTCACCAGCAAGGTGCCCCTTCCAAACAGCCCACCACCAGGGAGCCCTGCAGGCCTCACCGTTGTGTGCAGTTGCAGTGGAAAAGGGGCCCACGGGCACTGTTGAGCAGCTGGAACTTGGTTTCCTGGGGCTTAATTTGGTGCTCACACTGGTCCAGGCGGCGGAAGCTACGGCAGGCCCTGTGGGCACCTGGGGGGATACATGGTCACGAGGGTTTACCAGTATACCAGAGTGGCCTCACCAATGTTTGCCACCATTCAGGAGAAATACTAGAATATATGCTCAGTCACACAAACACAGTCTCTGTCTCCTGCCCTTCGTGCTCTTAGAGTGTTGCCCATGTGGGATGTGCCCCTACACATACACACACACACACACACACACACACACACACACACAAAGTGTCCCATGGGGAAACCCAGACTGCTGCTGAGGGTGGACAGGAAAGGCTTCCTGGAGGAAGAGACTGCTAAGCTGAGGCTGAGAGAGGAAGAGGGAGGAGAGTACTTCAGAAAGAAGGAACAGTATGAGCAAAAGCTCAGAGGAGAAAGAGCAGGCTGCATGGTTTTATTCTATTTTTGCAGTGATGGAGGTCAAACGTAGGGCCTTGCACACTGTAGGCAAATGCTCTACCACTGAACTACATCTCCAGTCTTTGAAGACTGCATTTGAGGAGCCAAATTAAATTTGTTAAACTGGAATTTTGACTGGGGGATGGGGTTTATAGGGCCTCAGGACCACTGGTCATTGGGACTTTTGTCAACTGTGATAAAAAGTAGCCATGACATCACAGGAGAAGAGTTCAGTAGATGTAAAGTGATGAGATAAAATTTGCATATTATGAAAATCCCTTACTTCGGTGTGATTTGATGGTAAAGGTTGGGATACCCTCCGAGCACTTGGAGCAGGAAAATAAACAACATATACTTCACCCACCAAAATGCACACAGAGGACACCCCCCTCATATCAGGAACTCCTAAGGCTAGATTCTGAGCTTACCCCGAGGTTTTAGGTGCTGGAGAACTGGATGGGGAGCCCATGTCTCAGCTGTGGGGGTTACATCAGTCCTGGAGGATGTGGCCTGGAAGACTGTGGTATTGGCCAGACTGGGGTACCTGGAGTTTTTTAGCTGTGGCTGCCTCTTCTGAGGGTGCTGCTTTTGTTGCAATTTGGTGGGGGCTAGGCTTTGGGGACTTGGAGTCAGGGAGGTGATGGGGGATCTCCAGGAGGCATTGTAGTAGGTAGGGGGCTGGAGATGGGCGAGGAGCACCGAGCCATACGTCCTACACCTGGAAGATGGCAGTTGGTGGCAATTGATGATCAAGATTCCCTGCCTCCAGAAGCCCCCAGGGTGCTTCTAGAAACCCCTGGAGTTGTCCCCAAGAGACCAAGTATATCTGCCAGTCCCCTTCCCCATCTTACTGGGTTGTGGGAGGCACTGAAGAAGGTGCCTGAACCCTGCCCTAAGGAAAGGACAAGCCTGACAAGAAATCATTCCCTGAAGGATAGACAGCCCTCCCTCACCAGACTTGAAACCCAGGTTCCCCTGCTGATTGGGAAAGGACTCAAGGGGTGCAGACACATACCCTCCCCACCAGTACCACACCACACACGCCTCCTTCTCCTTCAGCACAAAGCAGGGGATCTCCAGTACGTTGAAGAAGGCTACACCCACAATGTCCGAGATGGAGTCATGCTGGTTCCTCAGGCATTGCTGGAACCTGCCCCAGAGTCAGCATTCAGGTCCTCGTAGTAGAGAGAGCTCCTGGCTCCTCCAGCAACCCACCCTGCCACTATCAGCCAAAAGTTTGTGGTTCAAAAGTTCCTTCCCTCTCTCAGTTCTGTTTTTCCATCAGCACTATGAGGTCCATGCTGGCTGATCTTTAGGATTCTCTGGAATCCTAAGAATTACTCTGCCCTATCCCTGAGCCTTAGACCCTCTGCCAACCTGGTATCACAGTCACAGTGGGAGATGGTATGGAATCTGAAGTTTCGGATGCCATAGTTATACTGCAAGGGCGAGATGTTCTTTGGGCAGCGGTCATGTTCCCGGCAGCAGAGATCAGGGCCCTGGAAGATCCCTGCATGGAGGGGAAAGAACACCAGCTCATCAGGGTCCTGGGTAACACCCACCAGCTATACCCACCTGATATCAAGAGGACAGAGTTCTGGTTCTCACTCTGGTTCTGACATAAAACCCTGACATAAAACTCAAGCCAGTCATTCTCCCTCTATGAGAGCCTCTGTTTCAAAGTTTCAAGAGAACAGCCAGTCTGTAGCCCTTTTTGGGCAAATCCCAGTGCCAGACAGCCCACCTATGAGCATATGGAAAGATCTTCCTTAGGGGAATTGGAGTCTGCCCCTAGGTTTCCCAAGCTCATGCTCCAAATAAAACTCTGAAGTTAGGAATGTGTGTGTAATGGAGTGGTATACAGATAGAGTACAGCCTTTCTTACTGGCAAAATGAGGTACTGCTGACCTACCAGACTCAGGTGCCAAATCATCCCCTAACCCTCCACACAGATAGTAACCCATCACAGTCCAAGCAGTAGCTCCTTTTACTGAACACACCCTGAGTGCCCAGCACATCCCACACCCAAACTCACAGCAGTCCTAAAAATGAGGTGTCACCTTCGTTTTACAGGTGAGGAAACTGGGGTTCAGTGGGGAAGTGACTTGCTAAGTATGAATGTGCTTATTTGAGATTTGAACCTAGACTTATGGGTACAGGTTTTTTGGCTCAGCAGAACTTGAATCCTCCCCAGTCTATTCCCTCCCTCAGATGGTGATTAATGAGGACTCCCAGGTTTGAATAAGACCTTCTGCATCTATTATATCACTTAAGCGTCCCATGATAAGACTCATGGTCACCCCCACTTTATAGATAAGGAAATTGAGACTCAGAATGGTTAAGTCACTCCTCAAAGGACACTCAGACTGGGAAA